GCCACACACACACACATCTCACTTTCCCACTCTCTCCCCCTCCCTCCCTCCCTCCCTCCCGCATCCCCCCTTCCAGTGCCTCTCCACTCCTCTTTGACCTCACACATTTTAATCCCACTTATGTAAATTGTCTACTCTTCAAGTGTCTTGTTGTTGCCACCACCGCCTCCTCCGCCTCTCCTCACACACACACACACACACACGAATTTTTATTTTACATTTTGTTTTTATAAAAGGTTAATGTAAATGTGTTAATGCCTTTTATTAAGAGATGGAAACAGCACCTGTCCAATGGAGTTTATTTGTAAACAAACTCGTACTGGCAATCCCAATTTTGGCTACACCAATTTTGACAACTTTGCAAGTGCACTTCTATGCTCCTTTCGACTGATTACACAGGATTACTGGGAAAGTCTCTACCAATTGGTAGGTCACCTTCCTTCCTTCCTTCCTTCCTTGTCTTCTCGCCTCTGCTCCGCATTCATTGACGTCATGTCGACTTGACTTGCCCCTCGTCAATGGTGTTGTTTTTTTGTTTTTTACACCTTGAGGTGCTAAGAGCAAATGGGCCGACTCATGTCTTCTTCTTTGGAATGGTTATATTTCTTGGCTCCTTCTACCTTCTCAATATCATCTTGGCCATTGTCTCGATGTCCTACGAGCAGGTCTGTAAACAGGATATGGAATCGGATGCTCAATTAGCTGCTGCGATTGAGGTGAGGACTGCAGGAGTTGGGGATGGAGGTATCGCTATCGCTTTCTCTTACCATTTCTTAGTCCTTGTGGAAGCATTCTGAGAAAAGTACTGATAGTTTGAGGGGTTAAATAAATTATTATTACTAAAACTACCTTCTTTACGTGCTCCTCTTTCTCCTTTTTGTTTTTTTCGTCCTCCTCCCCCGCCTGCTCCTCCTCCTCGGTCCACTCCAGCTCCTGCTCCTCCTTCTCTCTTTCCCGCTCCCGTCCCTGCTCCTCTTTCTCCTTTTCCTTCTTTTCTCTCTGCTCCCGCACCTCCTTCTCCGCCGACTCCAGCTTCTGCTCCTGTTCCTCCTTCTGCTCCGTCCCTCTTCCTCTTCCTTTTCCTCCTCTTCCTACGCCTACTCCCGCTCCCGCCCCTGCTCCTCTTTCTCCTTTTCCTTCTCTTCTCCTTGCTCCCGCACCTCCTCCTCCGCCTACTTCAGCTCCTGCTTCTGCCCCTCCTCCCGCTCCCGCTTCTCTCCTTTCCCTGCTCCTCCATGACAGTCTTTGCATTCACATTTAAAAAAACAAAACTATCAAAGTCATAAACAAATTACTTTTCGTCTAAATTACGTGAAAATAGACAAAAGGACTGTTTAGAAGGTAGTCAAACCGAATGGTACATTTTTTGTTGTAACCTTGAGCCATCATCTCATAAACACTCTTATGCTTGTCAACTGTTCAGCTGTGTGCAGAAGACGAGACAACGGCGGAGAACAAAGAAAGTGGAGAGTTAAAAAAAGACTTGTCAATGATGCATTGCAATGGATTTCACTTTTCATCCACCTCACGACGCCATTCCATTGCAACTACCAATGTAAGTTCCTCCTTTATAAGGAATTATTGTTTTATTATATTATTAAATGAAGAGATTGAGAGAAAGCGTGTGCCTCTCCACAACTCACTTGACAATTCAGCAGGACATGAAGTTGGAGCGATTGACGTCTCAGTGATGCAAAGGAGTAAAAAAGTTGGAGAATGCATCAACCTCACACTCTCAATTAGCCCTCTCGAGTCGATCATCGAGGTGTAGACGCGGAGTGGTGAGGAATGGAATCGGCCTCACCTTCAGTCCTGCTTCGACTTTCCCATACGATTTAAAGTTTCTTCTTGATTAATTTTTGCATGAAGGGGCTCATCCCTCGTGTGTGTCTGTCGCTGGTCGATTCAGAGCCACTGGGATGAGAGTGCACGGTTTTTTTCTTTTTCCCTTACCTTTCTGATGTACAGCTGTGCGTATTTTGAGTCTGTCTGATGGACAGACGCCAAGCGCTGCCACAAGTGGCTTCACCGGATTTCGATTCTCTGGCTTTTGCTGTTTCCTAAAATCCATCCAAGACGGATTAGTTGTCATAGGTGGGCGTCAGGGTCAGCATCAGATCTGCTTGAAGTCGAAGGAGACAATACCCTGCCGGCTTGAAAGGCAGTGGAGGGGTTCCAGGCACGGCTCCGAGGGTGCGCTGATCCATAGAAGCACAAAAGGGGTGGCACATGAGGCCATA